GTTTAATTTTATTTCAATAATTCGCTTGCGCGTAGGGGTCTTTAGCAGTGGGAGGAAACCGGAGGACCCGGATAAAACCAACGAGGTTGGACAGGCCGAATATTGAGAACTTTTTTTTATAATATTTGTAAATACTGAATGTGCGATTCAACTTTTATAAAATTTATAGTATTATCTGGTTCAGAATCCCTGAAATAACTGTCAGTGGTTTTAACAGACGCGATATACATAACGACTGCTACAAATAATTCTGAACGTGGGCTAACCTTCAGAGTTTAAAAGACAAAATAACCCATGTTCAATAAATGACAATTCAGCACAAACATATTTTCTTTATGATTAAAGAGAACAAAGTCGGCCATAAATAACCATATAGTTGAGCTCTAATTATATAAAATACTAGATACAGGTATACTCTGGTCTAGTTCAAATATATAATACAACATCCTTCCCATAACAAACAGTAACCTTCCCATAACAAACAGATAATAACCTTCACATAACAAACAGAGAATAGCCTTCACATAACAAACAGCCATAACCTTCATATAAGAAATAGACAATAAACTTCCAATAACAAACGGCCATAACCTTCCCATAACAAATAGACAATAAACTTCCAATAACAAACAGCCATAACCTTCCCATAACAAACAGCCATAACCTTCCCATAACAAACAGTCATAAGCTTCATATAAGAAATAGACAATAAACTTCCAATAACGAACAGCCATAACCTTCCCGCAACAAATAGACAATAAACTTCTAATAACAAACAGCCATAACCTTCACATAACAAACAGAAAATAATCTTCACATAACAGACAATAACTTTCCCATAACAAATAGGCAAAAATAACCTTCCCATAACAAATAGACAATAACTTTCACATAATGGACAATAAATAAACATTAAGGTTAAAGCGACTAATCATAACTGTTTTAAAACACCATTGTGCTATTTTCCTGACATGATGAGAGGCCAACAAAGAAAGGTTGACTAAAAATGTTAAGAAGGTTATTGATCTAGATGTTATTACATCCCAGATGCATAAAGATGGCGGAGTGAAATAACTAGAAACTTCAAATTGTCATAATTTATGTTAGGACTGGGCCCTAAACTTAAACTAAGATACAATCGAAATTTTAAGAAATACTGCAATTCGATTGGCTGACCAGTAAAATCAATTTGCATATATCCATGATTTAATAATATTCTTTTGACAAATATGTTTTTTGGTAAGAGTACCTTTATATCACATCTAGATATGCTTAATATTATGTAATGATGGCCCTTTAACAAGTAAAATATTTTACGTTATGATCACTGTTTCACACTATTTTAAAGTCTTAAGGGTTTTCTTAATTTATATCAATTAGCGCTAACATGCAGCAATGTCAACCGGATATCAACATCCAAGTAGTTATCTTAAACTAACCCAGAGACCACACATGTGAATATACCACTTCTATGTCCATTGTTTCAAAACAAAACAAAACTAAGACGAGAAGCAGTTGTAAAAAAATGGTATACCTTTCACTTCTAACAGTATACAGACATTTCTGATCAAGTTCTGTGCCGGTTCAAATTTTACACAAACCATGATGATCCGCGTCTCAAATTTGTTTGTTTTGTAATCGTCAGAAACAAACTTCATCACAGCGCCGCCTGTTACTCTACGTTGCTAACTTGTTTTATCAACGGTGTGTTACTATATTTTAGAAAGACCCGGACAGCAATAGACACCGTTTCAAATATGCTCCTCGACTAGAATGTCTCGGGTTCGAATCCCGGGGTAGGTTGAGAAGAAGCTGGGGAACTGACAAGCAAAGATTGTATAGTCGTTCGAATGGCACACATACCTTAGATTTGTTCGTGTACACTTTTGGGGTGCACGCAAAGGTATCCTCAGCATCTCCGCGTTCATGTGCAACATTCTCTCCATATCAACTGTTGGAATGAAATTATATGTTAGTCTCAAAATTAGGGAAGTATTGTGTTGATATGGCGTTAAACCCCATTCCGTTTCACCTTGAATGTAATCATAACTCGTTGGGGCTGGACAATACACGAATAAGGTTCCAGGTGGCTAAAAGAGCACCGGAAACATCAAATGCTTCTGCAAGTAGCTTTCCCGTGAGCATTTCGTTTTGATACAACAATTTTCAGTTGAAGATGTACCAATGGGGAATGTTATGATAAAACATCACAATGAAAACAAAATAAGTATTATTAGTATAGTTGAAATCGATTTGTTATCTCACACAAACAATTACACAAGACCAACCTACGGAGAGAGAGAGAGAGAGAGAGAGAGAGATGAGTTTAACGTCCACTTGGCACAAACTAGGTCATTTCGGGACTAACACATGGTTTAATTTTATTTCAATAATTCGCTTGCGCGTAGGGGTCTTTAGCAGTGGGGGGAAACCGGAGAACCCGGAGAAAACCCACGAGGTTGGAAAATCGACCCTACTCTTTGTCACGTTCAACCGGGGAATCGAAACCACGCCAGTTGACAGACCTTATGATACAGCGCGTACCGGCCTACCGGCCTCGGTTTTTCTTTTTCTCGGGTTATTTTCTTCAGTCTTTCTTTCCCCAGCATAACCTCAGTCTCGTGCTTTATCCTACACTGAATATATGAAATATTATTTGGTAACTTAAAGTTGTCATCTTCGCTGATAAATCATAATTTGTAATAAATGATGGTAAGTTGATGTTTTGTTTACCTATCATAGTAATATACTAAGTTAATTCATAATTTATTGGGTTATAATTTAAGTTAATGTACTACTATGTACCTATATTAAACAACTTTAGTAAGGTATCCCCTATTTCCAATTATTCACGACAGGGGACATACATATACTATTCAAAAAAAGTAGGGGATATTTGATTTTGGGGGCATAATACTAAAATATGCAAATGACTACGAAAAAGGTCACTATAGAACCTAACAGAATAGCTACCGCATGGAATGCAGGTGATGCTTGGGATCATCATGGGGGTCCAACCCAAGATTTGCACGACTCTGACTTTGAATGTTACAGTCATTGTGGCATTGAATTCCAGGGTGGAAACATCAGTTTAATTGTTTTAGTGACCAGAAAACAAATTTTGATATGCGTCGGCTTACCCAAAATGAAAGGTTACGTGCCCTTGGCATGCTACAGATCGGCACAACACAGGCGGTTGTGGCGCGGACGATGAATGTTTCTCAGTCTGTCATAAGCAGGCTATGGTCCAGATACCGTGATACACAATCTGTACAGGACAGACCACGCTCAGGTCGACCAAGGGCCACAACTCAAGCCCAGGATCGATTTATCCGTACCTTGGCCTTGAGAAATCGTGTCATCACAGCAAATCAGATCAGCGCTCGTCTTCAAACAGACACTGGTGTGAGAGTGAGTGGCCAGACGATTCGGAATCGACTGCATAGGGGTCACCTTCGCGCCCGACGTCCTCGCGTGATCCCTTGTTTGAGAGATCATCACATTCAGGCAAGACGTCGTTGGTGTAGGGATCGTCAACACTGGGATAATCGACGCTGGAGCAATGTGATGTTTTCAGATGAGTCAAGGTTCACTGTTGATTTTTTGGACAGACGTAGGAGGGTGTGGCGTCGTCGAAACGAGCGCTTCCAAGACGTTAACGTCATCAGACATGATCGATTTGGGGGTGGTTCTGTTATGGTGTGGGGAGGCATCACTGTTGCTGGAAGAACGGCTTTACATGTTGTTGCAGGGCGTGTTACAGGCCAGTACTACCGGGACAACATCTTGGCAGTCCATGTTGTGCCGTTCGCACGACGTCATGGCCGCCGTTTCATCTTCCAGGATGACAACGCAAGATGTCACAGGGCCAGGATCGTTACAGGTTACCTCCAACAACAGAACATCACCACATTACCTTGGCCAGCACTGAGTCCCGACCTCTCCCCCATCGAGCATGTCTGGGACATGCTTGGACAGAGGTTACGTCAACGTCAACAACGTCCTGCCAATGTCCAAGAACTTGCTGCTGCGTTGCAACAGGAATGGGACAATCTGGACCAAAATGACCTTAGACGTCTCATTAGGAGTATGCCACGTCGGATCAATGCTTGTTTGGCAAACAGAGGAGGATTTTCCCGTTACTGACTTGGTTGTGATGCTGTGGTAACTTTGCTGTTTGACCCCGGGTATCATTTTACCCTTATAATGGTCAGTCTGTGCCTTACTTAGTCTAACGATCATTTGGAATAAATCGATGAATGTGAACTTCATTTCATTTTGTCATTTGTTTCTTCGTCAGTTTCATTAGGTGACTTTAATAACACTTAAAAATCAAATATCCCCTACTTTTTTTGAATAGTATACTATCAAGTGGCAAGAGTGTGTCTTTAAAAATGAGAAATGAAATGAAATGGGTTTAACGTCCTTCTGTTAAATGAAGACGGGCATACACCATACAGTGTGATATGGGGGAAATTTTGCCGGGACAGTGGTGCTACGGCCTACTCTTACATCGAATTTCAACTGTCCCACCCAACGACTATACGTTGTCCCTTGCCAGGCCCTTGGTCCTGCACCAATGATAGGAAGGAACCACGCCGGGAATTCCTGATGAACTTACTCGGCCAAGGGATTGAACACAGGGCCTCCAGGTTAGCGAGTCAACGTCGTACCCACTGAGCCACTTAAACGTACGAATGGGGTAGCCAGAGTTAAAAGATATTGTTGGTGTCCATGAGTTTTACATGATAAAATAACTTATATTAGAATGTCTTGTCGGTTTTGATTGTGTGTAGTGTGGTCCTTCTGCACTTACTAGTACTACTAGATTCTAAGCAAAGATATTTACCGCGGTTGAGCCCTGACCTTGACCCATGCAAAACGGAAGTTGGGCACACAAAGGAAAACAACCATTGTTTTGGTTAGAAGCAATTAGTGGTTGTGGCTCAATCAGTAAGGCACTAGGTCACTAACCGAGGGCACCGTGGTTCGATCGAGAGAGTTCCTCGGGATTTCGCAGTCGTTTGGAGGTCTCATATACATGTTAGCGTACATGTAAGAGAACACTTGACAATTGGTATTCCCTGAAGAGTAGGTGTTGTTTTGGTAAAATATCCCCAATAGCACAGGGTAAGTCTTTATTGTCTCGGTTAGTGCACAAAAATAAGACGTTAAACTCCATTTCATTCTATGTTTCGGGAACCCCAACTAGCAAGTGCAACGACATTCAATAGATAAATGGGGGTTGACAAAAGATTACAATTAAACCGATAATAATATTTGTTATATAAGATAATTAATATGAGAACAACAAATAAAACAATGGATTATTTGTTATAGTAATAATTTACAGACGGCCATGACGTAATCTATTCTGACTCATGTGGTTATTTAAACGGTAACACCAGCAGTATATATATATATATATATATATATATATATATATATATATATATATATATATATATATACATAGAGAGAGAGAGAGAGAGAGGTTTTAACGTCCACTCGACACAAACTAGGTCATTTCGGGACTAACATATTATTCAATTTTATTTCCATAATTCGCTTGCCCGTAGGGGTCTTTAGCAGTGGAAGGAAACCGGAGGGCCCGGAGAAAACCCACAATGTTGGACTGGCGAACCTACTTCTTGTTACGTACATCCGGGGAAATCGAAACCACGACAGTTGAACCAATGGCAGGCTTTATGAATATGATACAGCGCGCACGTGCTAACCATTATCCAACTCCCCAAAGAAACTTTAGTAAGTTTAAATTTTGGTAGGTTTACAGAACACGTGACATTGGTCCCTCCCCATACAATTGACACTACGGTCTTACTCTTAAATAAGAAAACATCCATTTTTTTTTTGCACATTCTGTGATGTCGTTGTTTTGAACGGTGCAGTATATGCTTACTCTAGAATATCTTACACGACTTTCCACATCTTTTGTTTAAAAATGATAGCATAGAAATAACATTCTTGGGAACCCTAAGATTCTGATTTCATTATGTTTGAAAGTTCCCGTACATTACCGATACAACTTCAATTCCCATTTGTAAAAGATGCAGTATGTAAGTGCATTTTTACTTCATATTATGTTATATCAATTAGTAATTCGGATGGTTGTGATTTTGAATGGATTAAAACACAATCGCCATTTAATGAAATAATGGATGATTGTTTATTATCGTAGCAATGGTCCTTGACAATCGAGACTATATTGATCAAACTTTAAATACATGTACTCATTCATAATTTCGCTCAGAATAAATTAATTTGACTGACATTTTCAATACATTTATTTTTCATTATCTATTTTTGAACTATTATAGCAAGAACGGTCAGCACTATCATACATAAACCACCTTTAAGTTAAAAATTTTCTATCTGCCAATTCAAACTATTAGAACAGAAATCCCGCGATGCAGTTGAAATAACATGGAATTTCTGTTAAAGTGATGTTTGGTTTGAAACAGTAGCGCAAAAGAAAACCAGACCAAATATTGACGACCGACAAGCGATAACACTATAAGGAAACAATATCGGCATTTTCTTTTGTTATTTTAACGGAAGCGACCAGCCAAGTGCTCATCTTTTTGTGAAAGGAAGACATTTTTGGCGCGAACTTCATATACACACACGTTATATAAAAATTAGATGCTATTTTTTAAGGAATGGTTCAAAGTTCCCAAACGTGTATATAAAACAATACAAGTCACATGTGAACGTAAAACAATGTTTGAAGCTAATCTTAAATTGTCTGTGTATATGTTTCAAGCACATGTGCCAAAATAAATGAATGGCTAAACACTGTACGGGAGCTCACGTAACACATCTTGTAACGATTAGGCCAATTATAAGAACCACGACATTAAAGGTACACCTCCGTTGTACTTCGAAAAGGAACCACGGTGGCTCAGTGAATATGGCGCCGGCTCCCTAAACAGGATGTCCCAGGTTCGCTAACGGTTGGACGAGAAATTTCATAGGGATTTTAGTGGCAGTGAAAGGCTTATATTCGTTGGGTTAGGCCGATTATAAGAACCATGATATGAAAGGTACACCGCCGTTATACTTCGAAGTGGAATTACGGTGGCTCAGTGCTTAGGGTGCCGTCTCCCAAACCAGGATGTCCCAGTTTCGCCCCTTGTTGGTCGAGAACATTCACCGGGATTTTCCAACCTGGTTTCAGTGGAATGGGATGGGAGGAGAATCTGGGGTCCGGTTTATACCAGTGAAATCACGTCATAGACCCCCTCTCACTATGAAATTGATATTAGAGCGTCAGTACCTGGGCATCACGTCATAAACCTCCTTTCACTATGAAATCGATATAAGAGAGTCAGTGTCCGGGCATCACTTCATAGACAACTTGTCACTATGAAATCAATATAAGAGAGTCAGTGCCCAGGCATCACGTCATAGACCCCATTTCACTATGAAATCGATATAAGAGAGTCAGTACCCGGGCATCACGTCATAGACCCCATTTCACTATGAAATCGATATAAGAGCGTCAGTACCCGGGCATCACGTCATAGACCCCCATCTCACTATGAAATCAATATAAGAGAGTCAGTACCCGGGCATCACGTCATAGACCCCATTTCACTATGAAATCGATATAAGAGAGTCAGTACCAGGGCATCACGTCATAGACCCCATTTCACTATGAAATCATTATAAGAGAGTCAGTACCCGGACATCACGTCATAGACCCCATTTCACTATGAAATCGATATAAGAGAGTCAGTACCTGGGCACCACTTCATGGACAACTTGTCACTATGAAATCGGTATAAGAGAGTCAGTACCCGGGCATCACGTCATAGACCCCCCTTTCACTATATGAAATCGATATAAGAGAGTCAGTACCCTGGCATCACGTCATAGACTTCATCTCACTATGAAATCGATATAAAAGAGTCAGTACCCCAGCAAAATGTCCCGTCTTCATTTCCCTGACGCTAATCCCCATCTCCTTCATTCATTTATCATTTGCCCGGAAACAATGTCCTAAAGAATTGAAAAATAACTCATCAAACTTCTGCAAAAAATACCGAAACCAGTCTACATTATATTATATAAAAATAAACTGTCCGAAATATCTGGGGCAACTTCTCCTTAAAGTAGCCCTTTGTTAAAGTTAGTAAACTTCCTTATACAGCTTTACGCTAGAACATATACTATTCAAAAAAAGTAGGGGATATTTGATTTTGGGGGCATAATACTAAAATATGCAAATGACTACGAAAAAAGGCACTATAGAACCTAACAGAAGAAACATTTCCAGTTATATGTGACGCCCAAACGCACCAATAGCTACCGCATGGAATGCAGGTGATGCTTGGGATCATCATGGGGGTCCAACCCAAGATTTGCACGACTCTGACTTTGAATGTTACAGTCATTGTGGCATTGAATTCCAGGGTGGAAACATCAGTTTAATTGTTTTAGTGACCAGAAAACAAATTTTGATATGCGTCGGCTTACCCAAAATGAAAGGTTACGTGCCCTTGGCATGCTACAGATCGGCACAACACAGGCGGTTGTGGCGCGGACGATGAATATTTCTCAGTCTGTCATAAGCAGGCTATGGTCCAGATACCGTGATACACAATCTGTACAGGACAGACCACGCTCAGGTCGACCAAGGGCGACAACTCAAGCCCAGGATCGATTTATTCGTACCTTGGCCTTGAGAAATCGTGTCATCACAGCAAATCAGATCAGCGCTCGTCTTCAAACAGACACTGGTGTGAGAGTGAGTGGCCAGACGATTCGGAATCGACTGCATAGGGGTCACCTTCGCGCCCGACGTCCTCGCGTGATCCCTTGTTTGAGAGATCATCACATTCAGGCAAGACGTCGTTGGTGTAGGGATCGTCAACACTGGAATAATCGACGCTGGAGCAATGTGATGTTTTCAGATGAGTCAAGGTTCACTGTTGATTTTTTGGACAGACGTAGGAGGGTGTGGCGTCGTCGAAACGAGCGCTTCCAAGACGTTAACGTCATCAGACATGATCGATTTGGGGGTGGTTCTGTAATGGTGTGGGGAGGCATCACTGTTGCTGGAAGAACGGCTTTACATGTTGTTGCAGGACGTGTTACAGGCCAGTACTACCGGGACAACATCTTGGCAGTCCATGTTGTGCCGTTCGCACGACGTCATGGCCGCCGTTTCATCTTCCAGGCTGACAACGCAAGATGTCACAGGGCCAGGATCGTTACAGGTTACCTCCAACAACAGAACATCACCACATTACCTTGGCCAGCACTGAGTCCCGACCTCTCCCCCATCGAGCATGTCTGGGACATGCTTGGACAGAGGTTACGTCAACGTCAACAACGTCCTGCCAATGTCCAAGAACTTGCTGCTGCGTTGCAACAGGAATGGGATAATCTGGACCAAAATGACCTTAGACGTCTCATTAGGAGTATGCCACGTCGGATCAATGCTTGTTTGGCAAACAGAGGTGGATTTACCCGTTACTGACTTGGTTGTGATGCTGTGGTAACTTTGCTGTTTGACCCCGGGTATCATTTTACCCTTATAATGGTCAGTCTGTGCCTTACTTAGTCTAACGATCATTTGGAATAAATCGATGAATGTGAACTTCATTTCATTTTGTCATTTGTTTCTTCGTCAGTTTCATTAGGTGACTTTAATAACACTTAAAAATCAAATATCCCCTACTTTTTTTGAATAGTATATTATTAAAAACTTTAAAGCGGATAAATCTGTTTTGGTTAGCTCTTGACTTAAGTTGATGTCGGGTTTAATGTCCGCTTCCAGCTAGGGTGATATCGCAAACAAATTTATTTGGGCCAAGCTGGGGTATTATTAATATTAATGGTAAGATTAGCTCTGTACGACTGAATTTTTGTTTCGGGAGATGGGTGCCCAAATGGTTTAATTTACATTATGCGCGTTAAATCACAATGTACGTCATTGAGTCAAATGGCGTGGTTTTGAGTCCGCGATTGTACGTGTCAAGCAGAAGGATCGTCTGTCAAACCACGTAGGTTTTCTCGGGTCCTCCGGTTTCCTCCTACTGAAGAACCCTACAGCTCTCTCGTTTCGGGAGGCTAAGCGGAAGTTCATTTACAATATTGACAGTGGAACACAAAATCGGTTATATCACACAACTGACTATCTACAAACCTAAAATTTTCAGTAAACTGTTCTGTCATTGCAAAAGAAAATCAACTTGAAACGAGTGGAAAACATCAATTTTCAGAAAATAGTTGTACAGTAAGAATAAATAGATGTACGCTGTTTTACTTGCGAATCTAAACTTCCAGATTTACTTATCAAATAAAAACACGCAGATGATCCGTCTTGAAAAATAGAAAGTTGTTAAATGTAAATCGTCGATACTAATTTGCGAGAATTCTCCTTCTATTACTGTTTAACGTCCGCTTCCACTGAGAGTGATATCGCAGACAAGTTGTCTTATTTAGTATGCTTAGCGCACGCGCAGGGTCCTTTCCTCTGGGGGGAACCGGAGTACCCGGAGTAAACACACGCTCACATACGCACAGACAGGGATTGAAAATGAAATGAAATGGGGGTTTAACGTCCTACTGTTCTGCTCCTATGTTGGGCTAATGAAGACGGGCATACGCCATACAGTGTGCTATGAGGGAAATTTTGCCCGGGCATCGGCACTATCGCCTACTCTTATATCGAATTCCAACTGCCAAGGGATCTTTTACGTGTATTCCTATGTATACACGGGACCTCGGTTTTTCGTCTCATCCGAAGGGCTAGACAGCCGTCCTTGTCAGGTCCTGCATCACTGACAAGGGGGAACCACGCCGGAAAATCTGGATGAACTTTCTCGGCCAATGCAGGGATCGAACACCCGGTCTCCCCACTTAGCCACGTGATGCCCAGGGGTCGAAACCACGACCGCAAGCCAGAGGTGACGAGCCAGGTAGAGCTCGATGCACGACACTCTAGACCACTAGACCCTTACAACACCCATTTGCAGCAATACATTTTGAGTGATTATATCCTCCACATGAAAATAAAGATGGCAGGCCTTTTTGATAAAACTTCCGGTAAGTAGAATTATCCGACTTCCGGTACCAATTGAAGTATAATATATCATTAACAAAACGGACTTAACGAAACTGGATCATTTATAAAGGCAAGTGTTAACTTCACCAATTATAAGTTGAGTATGTGTCGGCATTCTTGATCCAAATATAACCATTTTGTTGACGATAATTATTTGAGGACTTCGTGTGTACCTAGTAAACTTTAGTAATTTAAACCACAGGCTTGGTGACTGGTTCCGGAACCATGATTACCCTTTATCCATTAGCTTCAGTTTCCGAATCCATCGCCCAAAACATCACTGGCTATGCTAATTCTGTAACATGCCAACAGAACTTGTTATACTCTTTACATTTCAACTTTATGATTAATATACATGAATTGTCGTTCACATTTTGGGGGTTTTGCCTTTACCAGTACAATACAGACTAGCTGTAGAGTGTAACTGACGATATTTTCAGTGTATATATTTTGTAATAAGATATAAAATTTCTGTGATGACTAAATTTTAATAACTTTCATATTTAATCGTGTCTTTTGTTCTAGGTATAAAATCAACCAAATTCTAAGAACACGTGAACTTTTAAATATTAATTTTCACCAGTACAATACAGACGTTGCCGGAAGTAATTGGCGGTATTTTAAGTAAGTGTATTTTGTAATAAGCTAGAAATGTTTTATAACTTTCATATTTTATCGAGCTGAATTCTAACAATGGAATTAAAGACAACGCGCATTATTTCTCAATTAGAAATTTTTTATACACAATATGTCAAGATCATTCTTAAAGGGACAATAACACTCTTGCTGGCTTGAAAGCTCCAGAAAATAAATAATATCTCTATCTAAGTACTAGATGTTTAAGTGTCCTACCTGTTGTGTAAATTATCCATTACATCCTATTTTACTTGTCCAGAAGGTTCGAAAATATTTTTAAATCGAAGTTTCATTTGAAAAGGTTTACGTTAGACGTTTCAAACCATTATGTTGAATTTTTCAAAATTTTTAAATAAGGTGTGTTAAGATGAAATTTGTATCATCAATTAATTGAAATAATCTAAAATAGTACAATTTGTTGACCAGAATAAAGATTGGGACATATTACTCAGTTACAACAAGAGTGGTATTGAGCCTTTAAAGGTAAATGTTGGTTCGATTAAAACTTAGAAGTGAAATGAAACGAACCCTCCTCGGATCTCTATGACGGCCAGGTGAATATGTGTTCCTAAGAGACGTGATCATTGTTTGATTGTGCGCTTTGGGTTTTGGAGACAGGGTCCTAAATACAGATTATTATAACCATTGGAGGTGTACAGCAAGATATAATTTAAAACTTATTAAGATGATTCAGTTCACAATAATAGTCAAACGAAACCGATATGTATTTTTTAAAAAATATACAACATATTTCAATAGGTTTAGATAATAAACAATGATTTTATCAACACGTTCACTCCCTCCCCCACAATTAGTCATATTAACCTAACCCTAGAGATTTAATATCCCTAACCATCTGTCTTACTGTCCAATAAAAGGTTGTAAAAACAACAACTATAACAATGACATTTTGATATGCAGATTTAAAAATATGTAGTGTAATCTATATTATAAATAATAAACACCTGATCCTCCCACATACTAACCATTTACACCAGTCTTATTTCGTTCAGGTTTCCGCCCACTGCTAAAGACCCCTACGCGCAAGCGAACTATTGAAATAAAATTGAACCATGTGTTAGTCCCGAAATGACCTAGTTTGTGTCGAGTGGACGTTAAACCCCATTTCTATCTCTCTCTCTGTTTCGTTCCGTTATATTTTCTGGTCGAAACCAGCCGAATAAATGATTGTGAATACAGTTGAGTGTATACTGAGAGGGGTTATAACCGATTCAACAAAACCTTTGGGACTAACATATTGTGTATTTGTGTTTTCAATCATGCACTTGCGCGCCCCGGTGCCTTTACAAGTAGAAGGAACCCCCGAACGCACACAAGGTTAAGAAGGCAACCCTTCTGCTTGAAACGCGTTACGTTACAAGGAGTTGAGTCACCTGTCCAACCTCTTGGATTTTCTTCGGGTCCTCCGCTTCCTCTCACTACTAGCGACCACAGCCCAAAAGCGAATTATTGAAATAAAATTGAACCGAAATGACCTAGTTAAATCACATTTCTTTATAGCTCTTTCTCAAATGTATTCAAAATTAATTCTATATATTTAGCTCCACGGTTTTACCCTAGCTTTTCCTGCTGACCTAGTGACAAAAGGTGGTGGGTATGGATATTATACAATGTCTATATATATTTATAATAATATGCACACTGGCAGTATTTAGACCCAATGAGAAAAAGGTAATATATTATCCAGAAATACAGTGTGATCTTCGTTCACCTATTATATAAAATACATGTATCTAGCTAGTGTGTTGAATTATAAAACATGCATTTGGCATTTCTACAATATGTCATATGTATATTTTCTAAACAAATATTGTAGCACTGCAATGGGAATATTATATAACCTTGTACGCTTGGTACAACAGTGTAGGTGTCAATTTATCAGTTAACACTTGCCAACATTTATACTCACGATTAGAGAATATGAAGATAACGAAATAATTTTCCTGATATCAGAACCAAACGATGCCAAGTTTGTAGAAAATGTATGAGTATTAATGCATGTCTTTGGAATTTTAGTTTTTATCTGAAAGGGTAGGCGTCCATGTCTCTACAACATTTTATGTAGTAATGTGTGTAATGCTACGGAGAAGCAATTTACACGAACAGAGGCTTCTCCGCTTCTTCAAAACTGGTGTGTTAAGAAACACCGTATAGTCGTTCGGATGGGACAAAAAACGAGGTATCATGTACACCTTGGCGTACACGTAAAAGAACCCGTGGAAGTTGGAATTCAATTGCTGTCCGTGCCAAATTTTCCCCATAGCATGTTGCATGGTGTATGTCCGTTTTTATCAGCCGAGTTAGTGCATTATCAGTACATTTTAGTATGGATTAAGCATATTAATATTGTCGGAAAAATCCACATGGCATTGACATAAATGTTGATAATCATGAACTGTTTGAATAAATATTGAGTAATATATTTCTTAGTTTGTGAATGTCTTCAACAGAATAGGGTGGTCTTTATATAGTTTTTATTAAACAAATAAACACACACCAACACATTGATGTATATATAGATAAATACTATATCTAATCTGTTAAAAGTCAGGGAGATAAAACCTCTCTTTCTAATAGGAACATTTCTCTGTCTTTGTGAATGGTGGATGAATTGAAATTTCAGATGGTGTACACGAATAATATGACGTAAAAACGTGAGATGACTATTTTGTGATTGTGTTTCTAAACCTGGTATGTCAATATACATTGTCAGTTTTTACAAAGTTTATTTATGATTCGTTTTTTTTTCTTCTATCTCCACACAATCAGATTCAGATATATTTACTTCGAGTACATTTTTTAATCAAGATTGAACAGTGCATTCAGGGCCGGATTTAACCATATTTGTGGGCCCTATGCCAAACTCATCAGTGGGCGCCCAAATTTTTAGTAAAAGGGTTATACGCTGGCGTGAGGCCGGGGGGATGACCGAATTTTTAACGCGTGCGGGTTGGATCAGAAGGTCTGTCATTTAGTCAAGTGGCGTGGTTTCGATTCCCCGCTTGTACGTGTCAAGGAGTAGGGTCGCCTGTCCAACCTCGTGGGTTTTTCCCGGGTCCTCCGGTTTCCTCCCCCTGTTAAAAATAATTGAATTAAAATTAAACCATATGTTAGTCCCGAAATGACATAGTTTGTGTCGAGTGGACGTTAAACTCTCTCTCTCTCTCTCTCTCTCTCTCTCGCGATCTCTCTCCCTCCGGACATAACTTAAAGGCAAGGTGCTCACACACACACCAAAAGAATAAAATTCGGCGTCGTACCAATTGTCCACTATCTCCAAAGCCGTATCAACAACAGCAATTACAATATATATACGCACCCGATAAACTTCACCTTTATTTTACCCTATATATGAATATATCAACACAATTTTAAACATAAACTTGTGTTATTTGGTAAACTTTAACAGGAGTTTGTGTTGATTTGACATTTCAACACAAACTCGTGTTATGTGGTAAAATTTAACAGAAGTTTGACTTGATCCGTGTTTCAACACAAGTTTTCTTGTTTCAACACAAGTTTTGGTTGTTAAATAGAGACACCTCACTGGTGTCGAAAATAACACCAGTTATTTTACAGTGTATATATGAATGGTTAACCACATACATGAAAACATGTTTGATATTTAATCACACGATTGATTAAAGGTTTACATATCATCATCAATGGTGTCGAAAATAACACCAGTAGTTTACAGTGTATATATGAATGGTTAACCACATACATAAAAACATGTTTGATATTTAATTACACGACTGATTAAAGGTTTACATATCACCATCAATGTATTAATTAATATAGTAATTAGTTTTAACAGTTTGCCGCCTCTATCTCATTTCCTATCAATATCAAATTTAAATATGTGCGGCTAAAGGTCACGTGCTGTTCGTATCTCATGCTTTATGGTGCCTACATCCCGTGAAGAAAGAAAGTGTGGCAAATATCTGACATATTTTAAATATTGTGAATGAAACCTTTGATATATTACAATACATCTCAATATTTTAAAGCAATTTGAACCCCGGCAGTAGTGTAACAAGTCAAGCCCAGTTCTAATGAACTTGTTGTATATTTATAATTACACAAGAAACCAGATCGTTCACATGTATTTTAAAAGTCCTAAATGTGTACTATTTTAATCTAAAGACTAATTCGCTTTCGTCCGTATCCCTTTCCTTTTTCACATTGATCATTCCTTAATCTGCATAGTCTCGGTCTTTCGAGTCTATATCATATCATGATCTAGTTTGGTAACCCCCCCCCCTCTCTCTCTCTCTCTCTCTCTCTTCTTTTCCACATTGATCATTCTTTAATTTGTATAGTCTCGGTCTTTCCAGCCTATATCATATTATGATCTAGTTTGTTACGCCTCTAAAGACCCCTACGCGCAAACGAATTATTGAAATAAAATTAAACCATATGTTAGTCCCGAAATGACCTAGTTTGTGTCGAGTTTGTTTCTCTCTCTCTCTCTTTCTCTCTCTCCACATTGATCATTCTTTAATTTGTATAGTCTCGGTCTTTCCAGCCTATATCATATTATGATCTAGTTTGTTACGCCTCTAAAGACCCCTACGCGCAAACGAATTATTGAAATAAAATTAAACCATATGTTAGTCCCGAAATGACCTAGTTTGTGTCGAGTTTGTTTCTCTCTCTCTCTCTTTCTCTCTCTCTCTCTCTCTCTCTCTCTCTCTCTCTCTCTCTCATCAATTAAGTTAAATATATTTGTCAAGGTAACCTTGCCTTTACGACCAAGGTATCTGCACTTAATAGACACCTCATCTCCGAGTCTTAATCAATCTAAATATTATATATTTAATATCCTAATTAATTAATTATCTTTTTATGGCTTACCTAAAGTACCAAATTCTCTTGAACATCATCATATGGACTCTATTACAGTAAAAGTCTCCGGACACTGATTGATCCAATTACAGATTTTGGACGGTTAAAATTATAACTGC